ATACACACAGCTAATCAAAATGTTAATGGGTGTGTAAAGGTGACCACATGGTAACTATCTTATTTGTTCTTCACGTTTTCAGAAATGAACATAAAATTCAGATTCTTGTATCTCACTATTTCATTTAAATGAGACTTTTTTCAATCACACAGATTTTTTAAACAAAAACTGATACAATGTATTAAAACACATAATAACAAGAGTCTACATGTAAAAATATAACTTTTACATACACAATTTCAAAATAATGATACGTTTGCCATTTGTTGCATAAAATTTACAAATGTCTTTTTCATTACTATATAACTGGCAAAACAGGAGAACAGATGGAACATTCAGACCATTTTGATGGATGTATGGCATTTACTCAGTGCTGATAGGTGGAAAATCTACTTGAACAGGGAGTTTTTTTTTCTTTTTTTAAATACATGCCAAGTTTGTGTGGCTGTAAAAATAGAAACTAGAATTAGAGACAAAAGGATGCTGACAAATACTTAGCTAGGAGCACTACCTGTTAACTGTACTATACACCAAAGTCAATCATTATAAGATTCACTATGGAAGTTGGTTCAATCGTGCCCAGACTTCAAAGCTAGTTATCTGATGAGTTGCTGTGCCACATAGCTTGATCTATGTTACTATCAAATATGTTAAGTATAAACTTCATTCATACTGGCCAGAGAAATACTGTACTACCCCTCCTTGAGAAAGTGCAACTTAATGCTTTAGGACTTATAAGGCTTGTTATAATGCTGCATGATGATTGGATATTGGCATTTTTCAAACTAAGGAGGAGGCAGAGGAAAGGGGTTCTACACTCTAGTAAACCCACTTGGAAAGAAAAAATTAAAAAAAGTTAAAAAAGGAAAGAAAACCAATCATATCTATCACACTACTCGCAATTTTCTGATTTGATGTTTATTTTTTGTTTTTTTTTTCTTCAAAAATCTGACCATGTATTCAGAAACGCCTCACTGCACACTACTTAGGCTACACATGTAGGTAACACTTTAATCGTTTAAAATCACAGCCACTTTGATTATGTTATGTTTCTGATGATATAAACATTGGAAGGCACAGTGGTAACATTGTAGCATTCTAACCTTGTACCTCTGAAAATTCCAGAATAGGGTCACAAGAGCAACATTACGATTCCGACAAATTCATTTTGCCACGTCTTGGTAATGCTGCTTGTAATATCTACACATGATGTGACTTTTAAATCCTGTGTTCCCAAAAGACTGGAGAAACAACTTTCTACTTATTTATGAATGAGAAGCAACATCAGGGTCAGCATTTCATCCTGTACTCCCCCTCCAGAGACAGAGTTGGCACTACAGGTTACAATAACAAACCAGGGGAGAGGGACAGAAATAAGACAAAAAAATCCGTATTTACAGTAAAATCTTTTTTTTTTAAAAAAGTTAATCAGTACTATTTTTTTACAGGAGAAAAAAGTCTGAAACAAATGAACAAAAGCTTACCATATTCACTAAATTTTTAATATATATTTATATATATATTTATATATATATATTTGTCATAGGTCTATAAGATCCATCTGTTCCTCCTACCCTAAGGAATGGCTAATGTCATCACTTCATTTTCATTAGGACGTTTGCTGGTTTTGTAACTAGGGCAGCAAAGCTCCCCCTTCAATATCCAGTAAGTAGAAACACTAGCTGACTACAACACCAACAAAAACGTTCATGTAGTTTTCTTCAGAAGTACACTTTTTCATTATTGCAAGTTTACAATTTTTAAATTAAATATTTTTTCAGACTTACAAATTAATTATATTTTTTTTCCAAAAGAAGTTTAGGCACAAATGCATTGTTCCACAGTGTGGAGAAGATTGCCATTCAGTCTCTGGGCTGCGTGCCACAGCTCGCAACATTCTGCTTTAAACATTCTGAATGATATGTTAAAGAGAGTCGTCCCTCAAGTTGCACTTTTTTTTGTTTTTTGTTTTTTGATAATCGGGAATGCTGAAATCTCTTGCGTCTGTGATTCATAACTACTCAGACTTGTCTTATATTACAAAAAAGGGGATTAAGGAGAAGTGTTTATGTAGGTTTAAGATAATACAGCTGTTAAGGAAGTGGTCTCTTGTTTTAATGAAGAAATGTGGCAACTTGGACCTGTGAAAGAAGTAAAAAAAAAAAGAGGAAAATTAATGAACAGATTTTAGCATAAGTCATTTTTTTTTGAACAAGCATTTCAGAATCATTTTCTAAACCAAAATCTGGGAGAGGTCTCAATTAAAACCTATTTTTAAAAAACGTCTGATGACTTGGGTCTAAGAGTGATATCTATAATGGTTGAAAATAGAACTTACCATTTCACATCTGTCCCATATGATTTGATGCATCTCCCATTCCAGGGTGAGGTCCCGCCAATGAAAGTGGAGGAGGCTCTGAAGATACTTTTTCTTCTTCCCTTCTTTTCAGGCATGCTGCTTTAGGATTCAGATTCCTTTCTGTGTAACATTAAAGTAAAAAGCATTGCCAAATGGTTCAGTCTGGTGAATCTGCTCTCTATTTTGACCCAATTGTTTAGTTAACCCAGGTGCTACTTTTGGGGTTAAGGTAGCAATGTGATGAGACTTGGTGTTTTCACAACAGTACTGTACTAATGGTATTAACAACAGCATTTTGTAATTAACATGCTTTGCTAGTATGTTAAATGCTCGTGCATGTAAGTAGGAAGCAAGAGAGAAGACGATTCAGGCAGAATTGGATACTGAATTTGGAATACCAAGTTTGTAATTCAGAAAAGCAAGCAAGGCAGATGTTCTAAACCCTGGATTCAGATGATACACTTGTGAAATTTCAAAATGGAGTTTCAAAATCTAAATACTATATAATCAAAAAAAGAGTTTCCTTATAGACCTTCAATGTGACCTCAAGTTGGAATGATCATTTTAGACTATGAATTTCCTTTGCTTTATAATGTAAGAACCTTGCCTGATATTTGCCATTGCTTATAACAACTATCAGCTTCAGAGCTAAACACTCATGTCATGAAATAAAGGTAGAATGTGGTGTAAAACTGACCTCGCACTTGCTGCTCTAAGCTGAGAATGACAGCCACAGCCTGGTGGAGGATCAGGAGTTTTGTCTGGGGCTTGTCACTCTTCAGATGGAGTTGCACCATGCGGCCCAACTCCTTGAAAGCCTCATTAATGTCACGCACACGCAGGCGCTCACGGGCATTGTTGGCCATCCTCCTTTCTTTTTCACGCTCTGCCTTCTGCTCTGGTGTAAGGTCTTCATCATCATTATTGCTGTGAAACAAAAAAAGGCATAACATTTTCTAATGGTGTGGGGGGAAAAGCTTTCTAAATATTTTCCTTATTCCTCCCTCCCCCAACCCGGGGGGGGGTGTTCACTGAGATTCTCCATCTGAGGCCAGACTTTTGCAAATTTATAATTTTTCAAGTTTACAATTTTTAAATTAAATATTGCTGTTGAGACTGCCTACAAAGTGGTGAGATAGCTCTTCATCCCATTAAATCTCCAGCATGTATCTTGACCTGAGAAAAGAGCTAATGGTTCTACCAAAGATCTAATGCTCAAATCAAGCTGGAGACAATGGCCAAGTCAGAAACAGGGCCACATATTGTTTGCATTGGGAGAATGAAAGAGTGCAGGACAACAGCCAAAATGAAACAATGTACATTTCAACAACAAACATTACATTTCAAAAAGCAGCACCACAGCCTGTTTTCTCTTACCCTATAGGGAGCATGACTCCTGTAAGCAAAGTACAGTTTAAAATAAGAAGTTTTTGAAAAGTTCCATTCTGTGTAGCATTTAGAACGAAATGAAAACAAATGATTCAAAAAGATCTCAATAGACTTAAACAAGATAAGGTAAAAACAGGGATAAGTTTAAGCTCCTGCATTTTGGGTTTTTTTTAAATTAAATAACACAAAGGAGTTCTAAAAAGTTGGATGTTTAGTTCATACTTTGCCACTACCAGCTGTAGGATCTCTGGTAAGATCCTCAACCTTTTCTGAGATTTGTTTTCTCCCTCTCAGGAGGCCAAATTAGATGATGGCTTTTCCTTGTTCTACAAATCAATAATTTTAAGAATAGACAAGAAAAGCAACTTGAGGGTGGTCCCAGTTCCAGGCACTTTACTTTAAGGATAGTGACAAACTAAAGTTTATCCAGACAGTGAGCAGGCTAGTGAGGGGATGGGAAACTTGCAAGTGAAGAAAAGTTGAGGGTATCCATAGCTATTTAGGATAGAGAAGAGAAGACGTGGTAGTAGGTAGTGGGGAAGCTGATAGGAATCTCCAAATACGTGCAGACTTTCACCTAAAAGAGGACATCGACTTGTTCTGGGATGTTCCAAAGGGCAAACATTAAAATTACAGGGAAGTAAATTTTGACTTAATTGAGGGCAGCATTTCACCCTGCTGTCCCAACTTTGAGCTTTTAAAAAATGAAACCGGTAGCCACAATAGGTAGTGAGCTCCCTGTAACAAATATCGACAGAGGCTACTAGAGAGATGTTAGGAATCCAAAGGACTAGAATCTAGATTATGTCTGAATGTCCTTTACACCTCTAAGATTTTTGTGATTTCAGGTCCGAATTTTCACTAAGTAAAGATGCTTTTCCTGTTGCAATGTGAAATTGCCAGACGGATCTGTTTCTCTTTTCATTTAACTCTCTTCTTGCCCTTCTTTCTTAAAAGAACAATAGTTAATTGCTGGCAGTGAAAAGACTGCTGGGCCTGGAGTCAGGAAGACCTGAGTTCAAATTCTGGCTCAGACATTTACTAGTTGTGTGACCCTATACAAGTCACTTAACCCTGTTTGCCTCAGTTTCCTCATCTACAAAATGAGCTGGAGAAGGAAATGACAAATCACTCCAATATCTTTGCTAACACAACCCTAAAAGAGGTCCTAAAGAGTTAGACACAACCAAAACAACTCAAAAACATCAATTTCTTTTGGCTAATCAACAGCCAAGAATGAAGGTGAGGAAGATGATTTAGACTTCCAGACTTCGGGTTGTTTAGGGTCTGAAACAATACTGGTTTGGGGTGGCCCCTCCTCATGGATCAATTTCTAGAATGTGATAGAATCAACTGCAACTTAAGACATTTAGTGCATTAAAAGGATTCCCTTAGTAGCCATACAGGGGACAGGTGAGATCTGGGGCAAGGGGTAAATAAATATAAAGGGGAAAAAGAGTCATTACTTCCTGATGATCTGGCTGGAACAATGAGGCTCCTCCCAACTTTAAGCTTAGGAGGCCAAGTAGGGCATGGCAATGTTTCTTTGATAAGCTTTTCTGGTAATGAATAGGGATAAAATATAGCTGGGCCAGATTAGAATGAACCCCCTTGTGCTTTTTCCCCTCTCAATTGCTGTTTATTCATTTAAATAAGTCCTCTACTTCCCAGTCGTCCCCCCCCACTCCCAAGCCTGCAATGTCCTCTGAAACCACTAAGCAGGATACTGTTATAAAGCACTCAAGTCCTTTAGATATCAACACTAGTTGAAATAATGAACAGAATGGAATAGGTGGAACAGTAACAGAAGCAAATTTCCCCTAGGTAAAGTCAAAAAGGCAATCATTTGGGTAATCATTTTGTACATTAAACATTGTGCTATATATAACACAAAGAAGACTTGAAAATGAGAACTTGTTTTCCAAAGGTTCATGGGCTAATAAGTAATTTGAATTCATTATTCACTTATAAATAAATGTATAAATAAATAAATTGGTTATGCAAATAAGACTGCATGGATTTTTTTTTCCAAACACTGTTGGCTTATAATACAGATTTGGAAGCATAACTAAATGTCACAAGAGTGACCTTTTCAAACGAGACCGTTCTCAATAACAAATTAAAATAGTCTACTGAAATTTCAAAGGACCCATTAATATGTATATGTAACAGCTACTAGCTAAATTAATAAGAATTGGTCTGATCATTGAACAGCAACATAGAGGTGTTAATCACATAGAAGCTTCTCTTTAGTGTCTCTTACCAACAAAGAATGAAATGAAAAAACTCAAATTGTCACTGTACTTTTTTCTCTCATCTTTCCTATCCATAAAAGAGTGGAGGATAGCAAGGAAGCAGTGGCATTTTGGAAAATGAGCGGAGGAGAGATAAATGGTTTTTATTTTAGTGGTAACCTACAAAATATTCTGAAAATGCTTGCTAAGATCAGGGTAAGTGAATCTTAATTCTTTGTCCCAAGCAGAACACCTTCTGCCAAATCTCCCTATTCCAAAGTGAAGTGGAGAGTTGGCAATTATGTGGGGGATTAGACAGCCAATTTGGATAACTGAAGACATAAGGGGATCATTTATTGAGTGCTTGGGGTGTGCTGCAAGTGAATATTTTGGTCTAAAATATCTGGAATGTATACAACCCTAATTTACCAGATCATTGCCAACCCTCACTTTAGTACTTGGGCAGGTGGCCTTGGCAGCCATTTAAATAGCGTATTGGACATTCATGCTAAATTATGACTAGAATATCAGAATCTTTGTACAGTGTTTATCTCTGGATAGAACTCTATCAAACATAAAAGCAAGGTGAGGAATAGGAGGCAGTAACATTTATCCCTGTTATATTTTCATACCTACATTATTAAACATTTTGCTGTTAAGGAATTCTGAGTACTTTTAGTAGTAAATCTCGACTAAAGATTTTATCTAGGGCACCAGATTGTTAGAAGAAAAACCTATCCTCTTTTATTTAATACCTTCAGAATGTATTTAACACTGTTACTTTTTTTCCTGTTTAGAATTTTAATTTCCCAGATTTGTAGCTTGTTGGCTGAGCAAGTCAAATTTCAGTAGGCTGACGGATTTTAAGGACAGTTCTATTAATATGAACTACAGGCTCATTAGTTCAGAATATGATGATACAAGTTAGTAGTTATTATTAATTCTAAATTCTCTACAAAACAGTGCATTCCTGACATTCAGTTAAATAATAGCAATTAGTGCAATTTAGTTCAATTTAAAGGAGCAATATTAAACTGCTAGTGCCTAAGGTGGGTACTAAAGAACTCTGGGTGCTATTCAAGTGTTTGCCTCCTATACTAGGTCACATGCACTTAATATAGGCATGTTCCTTCTGCCTTTGCACTTTTGCATTCCAATTCTGTTGTTCCTTTAAGAGAATTTACTGTTATTGTTTCTGCATTATGTTCTAAATTCTTTAGTATCTGGTTAGACTTGCTGATTTTTTTTAAGAGCCTGTATTCTCTTCTGATGTCTGATATTTTCACTTAATTTGATGTTGCTTCTGAATCCTCCTAGAAGTTCCTAAAGTTGCTTCATTGTTGTTTCAGTAGGGTCTGAATAATTTCTTGTTGCTAATCACCTTTCTCAGGGGATCTGGCCTCAGTTTCCTTTGCTACTTAGTTCCTGTCCAATAATGTAACAATTTTTCCTTAAATGAACATTTCTTTTCCTCTGTCAGCTCTGTTATTTAAAAAAAAATTTCTCACTATGTTGATTTTCCTATGATTTCCTTGTTGAAATTATGCTTCTTAACCCCAATCCTTGCTCTTCTTAAGTCCTAGTACTGTTGTGCCCCTTCCCCAGCACTGGCTGCTGGTTCTCTGAAACACCAGTGCTGGACACTGCCACTGTATCCCTCAGACTGTGAGGTGATCAGTAGGGCTAATGGTGTAGGAAAATTCCAAGTGGCCACTGGAGTGGGGCTTAGTTTCTGATTCTCCAATCTGTTGGTTCCTTCCCCCCGAATCATCTTCAAACTCTTATACATGAAGTTCCTTGAGGAACAGAACTTCTTTCTTTCACTTTTGCATCCCTAGTGCCTAGTAGACAATTATTGACTGACAATTGATTGTCAGACTATTCTTAACCTTTACTAGTCATATTCTTCTGGGTTCTATCTTCTCTCTATAACTAATTTTCTATAGTCCTTCTGTGCTAGGACCGTTGAGACTGGGGGTACAAGATCCAAGAGATGGGCCCCCCAGTTCACTGCTGAGAGGAATGTTCCAAGAAGCCTTTGAAATGAAGCCTCTTCTCCTTTGTCTCAAGAGGGCTGTATGTATCCTCCTGTGCAATATTTTAAGTAGTTGCAACCAGTACTAACCTCTACAGTATCTTGTTTCCTAGATTCATATTCCTCCTTACCTACCTCCTTTCCTTCTTCTTGAGTCTTGGACTCATCTATCTGAGCCATCTGAGCTGTCTCCTCACCTCTCTTTGTCCAGGCCTTAATTTTGATAACTGGTGCTTCAAATGAAACAGAACTGATATGGGCCAGCACTTGGAAGATGGAAGAAGGGAGGGAGGCTAGAAGCATGAGCATTTGGGCTTTCTGCTTCTATCACTTTGGGGGTGGGTGCTGCTCCTAGCATATCTCTCATTCCACCACCTTCACAGGAGTTTCTAAGTTAATGCAAACATAGGCCTAAATTGGGCTATTTAGCCCATATTATCTAAGTCTTTTAGACTATCGTAACTGTAATGAAGTTGAAAAACAGGTAGAAATATTGATCTTGCATCACTGTCTGTGTGAGTGAATCAACACTGGCACAATTATCTCAAGATCGGGGTCACCCTCCTATGCGTGTTTGTGTGTGTCTGTGTGTGTGGGGGGGCATCTTTCCCTCTTCAACCATGGGAATGGGCACATATTCCTTTGATGCGGATTAGCTTAATAAGTTTTAGTATGACGGCAGCAGCCCACTGGTTAATGTTCTTGCTCTCTCCTAGGTACTGACAATAGGGTAGACTAACAGGGACTAAATTGTAGAAACAACAACACAGTCACTGTGTAGAAGAGTTGTCTTGAAGGTATATTGTTCATGCATTGGTTCTTTTTTCATTCAGATAAACAAACAATCCACACGTGAATACAAAAAACCTTAACTATGTTATCTTCAAACTTAAAGGCCAATACTTATGGAATGTACTATACATTACTAAAATAACTCTCCCAACCCAGGAAGTCTGGCATGCAATCTGAAAAGTTTTTGCCTTCCTGATAATGGATTTGCATGAATGAATCCTTCCAAGATTTCTAAATTGGTTGCCTTCTTGTGAAGAGTCTGACTGGAATTCAGGATACAGTCTGTAGTCTTAGAAGATAACAACTGAAAATCCATGGCCATTGAAGCTATGATGCTGACCTGATTAGTTGGGTGCTCTAACAAAATAAGCTAACTGGAAGCAGACAGCACCTAAGCTATTCTCTCTAGGTGCCTTGACTTCATCAAGGGCAGGATGGCAAAGACCAAATACCTCACAGGTACCTCATAGGTACACTGATTTCATGGCTGAACTGAAGTTCTTTGTCTAATGAAATCTTTAGATAAAGATACCATCAAAGTCTGCCTTGTCTGTTAAAAGACTCCTAGACATAGTCATGATTTCTCTTAAAAGTCAATAAAGAGAGGCAGTATAGTATAGCTGAAGGACCAGTAGATCTGAAGCCTAGACCTGGGGGCAGAAGAATGTCAGGTCCAGGCTCTGATGCTTACTAAGGGCATGATCATGACCAAATCACTTAACCTCACTTGGCAGGGTCATTGTGAGGGAAGTGCTTTGTAAACCTCTAAGTACTCTATAAATATGAGACATTAATTAGGCTTCCCTGTGGAAATGAAACATGTTAAAGGGAACTAAAAGATTAAGAATGGGAGTAGCAGCAGCAGAAGCTCACCACTGTCAAATGGAAGTAAAAATTCAAGACAAATTGGGATGTAACTATGCTGGGCATTAAAAATAAACCAGAAAACCTCGGTTATTAGGAGATGAATACAATTATACATCATACCATCTATCTACATAGGCACTGCAAAAGAAGAATGTTAACAATTTAGATATCATTCTGAACTATGGCTCAATTTGTCAACATAAAAATAAAGTATCAATGCTATTAAAACTGGGATAAAATAAGTATCCAGGTGTATTTTAAGGGTAAGAGAAAAGAGTACAGTGTACCAACATATTGGACTAGTATTTTAATACTGTTTTGCAATTTTGATTTTTTTAAGAAACACTTAAAAAAGAATAACATTTTGCATCAAATTTACAAATGAACATAGATTTAAAAGTGCAGTGTTTTATTTTTGAATCTATCAATAATTATTTTTTATGGTACATAATTTGCTTGGTGCCCCAATTGATGTTTTTAAGAGGAATTTAGGCATTACTAGAGTACTGGTATCTGAAATGATACTATCAGTACTTCTAGAATAGGCCTGTTCAGCTGTGGATTTACCTGCTAGGAAAAAACCGAATAGTTTCTTCCTTGTTCTGTTCACTTCATCAAAGTCCAATAAAGGAATTAAATGAAGCGACAGTATTATATACTGTTACCTAGATCTTGACCTAGTAATTGATTTGATATCCTTCTTGTCGTCGTCTAATTTCTTGTCCTCAGAAGATTTTGTGTCTTGCAGGTTTTCATCTCCCTCATCATCAGATTTGATCTCAGAGCTACCTGAGGATACACTCTGCCCCTGCAATCCAGCTGGCATGCCTAGAGGGAAAAAAAGGCTGTGTTACTATTGCCAATGTTTAAAGCAAAGACTAAATGCACAGAGGTGTGTGTTACTTATTGTGGGGCTGCCAGCTAGACAATAAGGAGAGCTGAACTCTGACCCTTGTGCTCAGACTGTCACTCTTTTATGCTATCTGGGGAAGTTTCCAAAATGCACCTGCTGAAACCAGTTTTCATTGCATGGGCTCTGAGGTTAAATTCTATTTTGCAATCTTTTGGAGTAGATGGTAATTTCACTGTCTACAAAACATCAACTTAATTGCAATGAAAATCATAATCATGAAAATCACACACCTCAATGTTCTGATTAAGAATCCAAGTAAATATCAGCTATTATATTGAGTTTTTCCATGTGCATGATTTAATAGAAAAAATCCTTAAAATATTATTGCCATGGAATAAAATAAATACATTCAGTCAGTAAGACTTCAAAAGATACCATAATCGTATTACTGAATTAGGTTTCCTTCTCACTCAAAGAATAATTAGTGACTAAAGGAGAAATACACACACACACACACACACACACACACACACCTGTTAGGCAGTTAGTTACACATTTTCACTTTAATCATAGATGGTCATGGTTACAAATGGGCAATAACTATTGGATCCAAATAACTTCTATCATCAAGAATAAATGATTGCTAGAGTTGAATTGTAAATGCTTCTGTGGGCCCAGAAAGTTGGGTTGTTAACATCCTCAAATCTGGTCAGTTTTGACAAACACTTCTGAAAAAAATCTGGGATGTGACATAGCTTACCATTCTAGGCTTACAACAAATTTTAAAAATTCAGCCCTAGCAATTATTATTGAAGCTATTTTGATCTAAAAGTTTGTTTCCTTTGGTAAAATTAATCATTTGTGATGAGTTAAGAGGCACAGGGATAAGCCAGATGTCTTCCTGAGAAAAAAAATTTCCAGTCCTGAAATAAGTTGTAGACAATAAATGATCATGGGTATCTTTCTATAGGTTATGAACTCTCTTGCCTATTGGAGGAAGCATGTAATCATGCTAGATTTCTCCCTACCACAGAACTAATTTGACAGTCTCTGCTTTATACGGCCAATTTTCTTTCTTTCTAAATTTCCTTCAATTAAAAAAAATCCTTCCTCCTTATCTTTTTGGAAGCATAATATTCATGTTACATCGAACCCCATTAAGTGATTTGAATACTAACTACTGACTGAGTGAAAAATGTGTAAATAACTAAAATAAACTTTACTATCATCACTCTGATGTCTCATTCTCCACTCAAATGAAACCAGAGTCCCAAAGGACTTTTGGAAAAACAGTTTTTGGAGAAACAGAACCTATGAAGAACAAGTTCTGAAATTTTACTTTACTATGCTGAACTTGAACTTGGGTTCTGTGCCAGTTTTTAATCTAGAAATGAATACCAAGCATGCAGATGTCAGCATCTAACTTGCCGTGGGAACAGGTAAAGCATATAGATCAGAGAACAGTTAAGAAGGGCACTTCTGCGGTGGACTCACCCCTGTATGGATCTTGGGGAGGGTTCAAGTCAGGGGAAGTGGCCGACTGAACCGGGAGTTGTGGGACTGGAACCTGGTTTGGCACAAGAGAATGGCTGCCTCTTAAAGCCACACCATCTTCGCGATGGGCACCGACCTGAAAAAGGCAAGAAATGACATAGAGGTTAGCGGGAGTGGAAATTAAGGTGAGGCAACTAGCTCCTGAGACAGCCAAACATCAGTTGGAAGGAGACACCAGCATTTAACACAGCTCTCGATTGCTTTTCACTAGAGGGCACCAAAGCCCCACACATCTACCTATACTATCGTGCAAAAAACACTTAACACTCAGTAAGATGCTGTGCCGCACATTTAGTGACAAATATGGCAGGGTAGCTCAGGCAGGTAAAACGTCAAATTGTCTCCCAGGGTGCTGCAGTGGAGCGCACTGATTCGTACCCATCTGTCTTCTATCATGTCCGCCAACAGATCTGACAATTATCTTAATGCCCATATGCTTAATTGTGGGCTTCTCAATTCCCCCATTGCTATCGGAAATCCTGTAGGAATTTCAATTTGGCATTCGACTTTCATTTCAGGGGATAAGATTCTCAGGCCTGCCATTTTTTTTTCCATAATGCCAGCTAAGCCTCTGACAGCGGAAGCTACAGCAGTATGCGGCACAGCCCCTGTTCAGTACAAATATAATAAAATGTCACCTGGCTTTCCAAAACTGGCAGCCCATTCCAAATTAATGTTTACTGTATTTCATCAGCTGCCGAGTTCCAAATCCAAAGGGGGACCATTTCTGCCAACACCACCACACCGGAAAATGTACCAATAAAGGTTTTATTAAACACACCAGTCATGCCATCATTGCCAGGCAAGCACACTGGAGATCCTTTCATTATTTTCACCTTTCTAGGCTCAGAAAAGCATCATATCATAGATAAGCTAATGTTTTGTATGGTTCTAGAAAGGCATGCACAAAGAAGAAAATGGGCAGTGAGCTTGAAGGATACCCTCAAGGTGTTTGTTAGGTATGAACACACACTCTTGGGTTCAGGTACCCTTGGCATGTGGTAACTATGGGAGAAATTGTTGACTAGTAACAAATGCCTAAATACAACCCAAGCAGACATGATAAACCTTGAGGAACATAAATATAAACATATCTCTGACTTGAAAGCTAGACTTTCCATTACGAAAGTTTTTTAAAAAATCTATTGCTTAATTGCTGTTTAAAGGCACATGTACGAGTGGGATAATGAGCCTAAAGATATGTAAGTGAAATTCCTATCTCCAAAGCTATTTTCCATGAATCAATATCACTGAAGACAAGAAAACAATCTTTTAAATAAAATATACCAGGTAATAAAGCAAAATTGTTATCACTAATTTGAGACCAAGAAATTAAATGAATTATTTTTTTCCAAAGGGAAAAACAACAACCAAATCTGACCAAGATAATCACAAAAAACTAAATGCCAAATATTTTTAAATATTTTGAATAGCAAAAAGAGAATCTTCCCCCCCACAAAGTATTATTTTTTATGAATTCAAAATAAATTAACTAGGACATTTTGGGAGAATCATATAGCTCATTCAGACTAAACTAAATATATTTAGGTTCCTTACGTAAACTAAGTAACACAGCTTTTCAGGTGACCTGATTTGGTAAATCCAGATACCAACTAAAAAGAAAAATATTTTTTAAGCATTCTCATGTGTAAGCTGCCACCCTTAAAAATAAAACACATTTCAAATAGCACTTTACGAAGTGTTTTCCTCACAACAATGCTGTGAGGCAAACAGTAACAAGTGATATTCATTCCATTTTACAGACAAAGAAGTAAAGAAATTAAGTGACTTGCCAAGGGTCACATAACCAGAACTAAATCTATGCCTTCTGTTTCTATATGTCTAGGTCTTCTGATTTTTATTGGTGGGTTAAAATTAAAAAAAAAACCCAAAACCTCTATATCAGAGGATGAGGAAGATGAGAAGGCATGACAATGATTCTTTCAAAAAGATCTAGAGATTTTAGTGGAACCAAACTTGTATGTATGCCACGATATCAAAATCCTAGGCTATGCAAAGGACAGATATCCAGAGTGAAGGAAGTAAGAGTTCTTGCTCTTCTCTTCTCTGGTCAGAACATGCCTGGAACACTGGGATCAGTTCCTAACAACGATAACAGTTCAAAAGTGGAATGGGTAGTCCTAGAGTAGAGTATTCCCTTTCATTTGAAGTCTTTATATTATAGTTGGAAAACCCTTTTAGAGATCTTGTAGAGCGAGTGGATTCCTGGTCAGGGACAGGCCGAACCAGATGGCCTCTGAGGTCTCTTCCAACTCTGAGGTTACATGATTCTGTATCTCCAAGACCAGTGGGCTTTCCACTACCCACTAACCTGACCTCTAACCCTAATGTTAAGTAAAACATTTTGTGAATACTCTCAATAATGTACTATGATAAGCATTTTCATAGTACAGTACTATTTTAAAAAGTCCTTACAACTAGTCCATAGGCAAAAATGACTAGTTTGTCATTTATCCAATTTCAATAGCTTGTTTTAAGTTGTTCTTGAATTGAAAAGACAACTAAGAGACAGTTAAGAAAAACTTAAGAATGTCTTTGGACTAATAACAGTATACATATTGTTAAGTGTCTTCTGTTTTGGTAAATGTTAGGAAAATGAAATATGCTGAATTTCTTCTGAAAACATATTAAACATGACTTACTTATAAGGCCTGACTATATTCAATTAGACATTTCATATCATTACTGATTTGATTATATTTTTTCATAGCACCTAATTTAGGCAAAATATAACTACATCACTACTGTGTTGAGTACAATTACAGTTGGAAGTCATGTCAGCGATGCTACCTTAATAACACATCCTTCTTGGCAATTACTCCAGTTACTTTCTAATATATTATCTCATTTAATCTGCACAATAGCCCTATAAAAGGGTACATATTATTTCCATTTTATGGATGAAGAAACAGGCTTACAGATATTGTGACTTGACCTAACTCACATAGCAGGTGGAATGGATATAATAATCATTTGATTTCTGGAATTTCACATGTACTCTGTGTCTTAGAATTTCACCTGATTTCATCCTGATTTTTCTTTTGTGGCTTTGCGTTCTTAGTAATTCCCAAAACATTATGCTATTCTTTACAATAAACATGGTAGCAAATACTAGACTCGAGGAAACTGAAAAGTAGATGGTGTTTGTGTTTCTCTACCTCCTGCTGTGGTTTCTCTGATCTGAGTTTCTCCTCCAAAAATGTCTTTCTACTGGTTCTGGACAGACCCCACACCAGAAGCCAACTAGGCCTGATACTTCTCTTGTACCCACTGCTCTAGCCCTTTCTCTTAATTTCTTCCACCTTTTGCTACCACTAATGTCCTACCACTTCCAGGTAACATATTTGCATTTTTACTTCAATGCCATAACATAAATAATGACTCCAATTGTAGGAATTTCAGACACAAGCAGGTTGGTGGTACAAAGGCTTTCACTGGTCCTTTAATCACATGTATTCCATTCAGCCTACACACAGAATTTACTCCTTTATTAAGATAATCAACACCTAGCTGAATGTGGCTGCAGTTTCTACTCTCTGTCATTGGGGTGGCTGAGGCTGCTAGATCACTTGAGTTTGGGAATTCTAAACTACAAGAGGGCTAATGTCAATTGGGTGTGTATATGAACAACATCAATATGGCAAGCCCCTGGAAATAGGGGGAGTGGGTGTGGAGGATGAGGTTGTCTAAGGAGGGATGAACTGGCCCAGGTCAGAAATAGAACAGGTCAAAACTTCCCGGCCAATCGGCAGTGTGGTCCATGAGTGGCTGCTGCACTTTCAGCCTGAAATAATTAGGGAGACCCAGTCTCAAGAAGAAGAAGAAAAAACCCAAAAGGAAATAATACATCTAGAGCCTGATGTCACCATTGAGTTTGGTAAGGCTCTAGCAGACACAAAAGATAAAAAAAAATTCATCAGACTACTAGAATATTACAGTTGGTAAGGATCTTGGGGGGTCATGAAGTCCAACCTCCCAGTCTCCTATAATAGCTTTTGCTTGAGCACATGAGGTACGGGGATCCTGTTTTCTCACAATGTTGCCTAGTCTATTTATGAATATAACTCTGAGTATTCTTCCTTTCACTGAAAAGAAATCTGACTCCTTGTAACTTCTAACCCCAGATCTTGCCTTTAGTAGTGACAAAGAATTAGTCTAATCCCTTTTCTACATGACAGCCATTCAAATATTTGAAGACAGCTATCATGTTCTCTGTAATCTTCACTTTTTCAGGCTAAATATTTCAGGGTTCTTCAACAGTTTGATATGACATAAAGAAATGCATTATGTATTTCTGTTCTTTTCCTATAGAAGAGAAGAGTGACAAATACTCAGATTCTCTCGGTGAACTGTCTTATTATTTTCTTGAAGATTCATTTGTACTTTTGAAAGAAAATCTATCAATAGTTTTTCATTCAATCTAAGATATAAGCTACAGATATGAGGTTTTATAGTTACAGTCAATGCTACATCTGTAAGTCTCTCAACCACGACTTATATGATCAATGTCATGCAATTTCACATCTGTTAGGTACTCATAGTATACCTAATTTCTGTTTGTTTGTTTGTTTGTTTTTGCTTAGGCAGTTGGGGTTAAGTGACTTGCCCAAGGTCACACAGCTAGTAAGTGTCAAGTGTTTGGTTTGAGGCCAGATTTGAACTCAGGTCCTCCCGACTTCAGGGCCGGTGCTCTATACACTGCACCACCTAACTGTCCCAACTTGTATACCTAATTTCTTAAAGTTCACATAAGCCTATTAAAATCTCAAGTCACTGAAATGAAAGAGACTTCCAGTTCCTTTGCTGTGGAAGCATTCTCTTTCAAACCTTTTTGGAATACATCTGTTCATGCAATTCAAAGTTAATGCTTCATCTTTCCTTTAAATATTTATCAATTGAAATATTAAATAAGTTAGTTTTCCTGATCACTTTAGTATTTACAAGGGGGGGGATTATTTACTATCTTCTTGACTTTCATCTTTGTTGTTGTGGTGGTGGTGGTGGTGGTTCATTTGTGTCTGACTCTTTGTGACCCCATTTGGGATTTTCTTGGCA